AGTCTCAGAAGGTTGAGGATGTATCTCAAGGCATCCCTGGTTTTTCTTAAATAACTGCTATTGGTTTATCATTCTTGATTGCGTTAGATAAATTTTGTTGAGTTTGGGGGTTTCTTGTTTGTTTGTTTGAAGTTTACTAGTTTTTTTACTAGTTCCACAAGCACTGTCAGATCTGTAAAATGGTACTTCCTTCTGTATTCCTGGAACTTTCTCTCAGCCCTTAAAATAAATCCTTAGTTTTTTTATCCTATGGTATTATAAAGGAGCCTGTATCTTCTGCATGTTAGAGATTTTGATCATTGTTCCCACCCAATTTGTATCATTCCAGATTAAAATGTCCTATTTGCATTATGTCACACAGAATTTCTCTTTCCATTTCTTTTAGCTTTTAGGGAACAACCATAGGCTCTGAAATATTAAAACACATTTTTCAAACACAGTTGAAAAAATTAGCCTGACAGTTTTTAGAAGAGCATCTGGGCATGCTATAGGAATAACTACTTGATAGCTATAATAATAAAAATGTTCAATTTATTTATCATTTTATGAGCCTAATGAGAGCCATCCTGTCTTTTTTAAAAGATATTAGAGATAGCTTCACATACTTCTAAATACCATTTGTTTTTAAATTTCCAATACTGAAACAAATAGTCGAATTTATCAAAAGATGAATAATACTTTTTATATAAAATGTAAAACCAAAGCCCTTATCTCTTATGATTATTTTTCACCTCACAATTTCAAGCTATATCATGTTTGCCATTTTGCTATTTAAAATCTCACTATTTTTAATCTATTTTTATGATTTTGACCAGATTTAACATTCCTCATTTTCAAATGCAAATGTTATTAGATATTGTAGATGTCTCTAAGTTCATGATTTTTAAAATAATCTTCCATAAAATGATCTGAAAAGTTAATTATAGAAAGAAGCAAAACAAATGAAAACTAACTATGTGACAAAGGGCCTCAGTCATTGTGTCTCTATTTGTCTGTGAATGAAGTTTTCCTCAGGTCACTGAATTTAGAATCTTGGTGTTAACTTTGGCGATGTTTAGGTCTAGTTTTCAGAAGATACTCTGACACCAACTTTCCAAATCATTAAAATCACTAAACTTTAGTATCTTCATCTATACAATCATAATATCAAGACCAGTCAAATGCATTTGTCATAAAAATTAAATAACATATGTAAAGCAATGAACACATTGTCTGGTTTGTAAGGAAGCCATTAATATGGGTAGTTGCACTCATCAGTATTTTTTTGTTGTTCTTTTCTCACTAATTTTTCTCTCTGACTGGATCCCAAGTCTTCTGCATTTCTCCAAATAGCTTTATAAGTTTGATTATTACACTATATACCCAAGGATATCCACTGCTGTCTCTTAGATTCTAAATGGCTTCAATAGCCTCCTAAATATTTTGCATGCCTTTTGTCTCATCTCCTTCATTCCTGTTTAGGGAGATGTAATGTGGAACTTCCTAAGAACTTGGAAATAAAGCTATTCTTGGAGAGTTAGCCAGAGTAACATCCACATAAAAGGGTCGATTATTCTTGTGTAAAAATAATAAAGATAATTAGAGGTATATGAGGATAGATGTTGCCCACAATTAAAGGATGCGATTTGACATACTTTTTAAACTGAGTCTGAATAATAATTTCATTGATAAATTAAAAATGACATTGGACCTGACCACCAATCCCCCTTTTCATTCTTCAGAATGCAGCTAGAATTGTCCGTGCTCTTTTTGAAATTGCTTTGAGGAAACGCTGGCCTGCCATGACCTACAGGCTCCTGAATCTTAGTAAAGTCATTGACAAGAGGCTTTGGGGTTGGACTAGCCCTTTGAGACAATTTTCAGTCTTACCACCACACATTCTAACAAGATTAGAAGAAAAAAATCTTACTGTGGATAAGCTGAAAGACATGAGGAAAGATGAGATAGGTAAGAAGGAAGCAAAAATGTTTTAAACTGTTACATGCAATTAAAATATTTTGTTTAATGTTTTAGAAAAGCATTATGAATTTTCATTTTACTAAAGATAAACTTTTACCATTTTATTGTTTTTTAATTGATCTAAACTCAAGCAAAATTTAAATTTTGTGAAGTTAAATCTTTAAATTTTATGTAGTTACTCAACGAAATTGCTAGTTAAAATGGAGTTTAGGTTGTCATACCCTTGATTATTTTACAGATGCAATCTTAGCTACAAATAATGAGAATTAGTTAATGACATTTATTCTCAAATTATTTCTTAAAATTTAATTCATTTCATTGCCTTTTGTTATGTGTATAGACAGTATTTCAACAAAAAAAGTATGTCAACAATAAACTGTACAATTCTTCAGATTCTAAATGAGCCTCATCATTATGTATGTATAGATCTTTAAATACTGTTGGTATTAGTGTGTAAATAGTATTTGGTCTTCTATGCTTTTCAAGTAATACTGAAAAATTATCCCTGCATATCTTGCCATGTGCCTTAACATTCTGTTGAACAAACATGGATTAGGTAATGTTTCAGATTCTAAATAAAATAAGCTTTACGCATGAAGGAAGGCAGGCTGAGGAGAAGAGAGGTTTGGCAAAAGGTCCATAGATACAAGGAGAGGCTGGGATAGTTATTTCCCCTGTGTAATAAGAATACTACTAAGATGGAATGAAAAAAGGGAAGTATCAATAAAAATAGAAATTGGGAATACGAACTAGAAAGTTGGGATTACTCGTATTTTCTAATGTAAATATTTTATTAAAATTAAAGGAATCACTTTAGTTTCAAACGTTAGTGTACATAAAACTTTTTGGTTTACTTATAAATGTGCTTTAAAAAAATTATATTATGAACCACCAGGACACATAAGAAATACTTCTCCTATAAAAAATATAACCTATTTCCACTTAGTCATTTGAATTAGAGTAGGAAAATGTTTCTAGTTAGTCACGTCTGTTTGTGACCCCCACTACCACCCTGGTGCTTTCATGCATATCTATATTTCAGTATCTCAACATTTATGAAAATATGTATATATAAGTGGTTAATTTTGTGCTAGATTGGCCGTAGTTTATATTTTATCTCTGTTTCCTGGAAATAGGCATGTAAGTTAGTTGTGTTTGATTACTAAAGCATTTTCCATCATGGTTATAGAGTTCTGAAATAGGCCTTGAATAAATTAATGACTGTTTTCACAAAATACTAAATATTTCTATAATGGTCTTAAACTGACTAGGAGAAAAGTAGAACTGTTTATAGTAGTTTAGAAACGATCAAGTTTCAGTAATTTTAAGAACCCTATTAATAGCTGAAAAAAGAAAAAACCCTGATACTGGTTTTCAGAGCTATGAATTGCTAATTCAAGTTAACTATTAAAAAATATTCAAACATGCCAGGTCAAGAATGTCAACCATTCTACATAGCAAATCATAAAACAAGCAATAAAAGCACCTTCTCTGAAATCCCATTTACAAGTCGGATTTTATTGCTTTTTTCCTGTCTGGACACGTTTCTTCTAAGTGATGTTTTCATTGTAGGTCACATTCTGCATCATGTGAATATTGGGCTCAAGGTCAAGCAATGCGTTCATCAGATTCCTTCTGTAACGATGGAAGCATCCATTCAGCCCATCACACGGACTGTCCTCCGAGTGACGCTTAGCGTCTCTCCTGATTTCTCTTGGAATGATCAGGTAGACATGGAAGCACCTAAATCTACGTTAAGGAAATATGTCTGTACTCCAGGTTCAACTACACCTCCCTACATCTGTCCTCAAGGCATATAGAGAATCCTTTACAAAGAATATACATTGAAGAATCATTTAAAACATTGTAGTAGTATTTACTCTCATCGTCAAGATAGGCATGTGGTATAATAGATGGATAATATGTCAACCAATGAGACCCCATCAGAGAATTATAGGAAACCTAAAATTTCACATGAAACGATTGTATACTGGTTTCAACTCCATAGTGACTTTGCTTAATTCTGTCCTCTTTCATTTTGTCTGAGTGATCTTCATTTTTTTCTAGCTCTATCAGTTCAGTTCAGTTCAGTCGCTCAGTCGAGTCCGACTCTTTGCGGCCCCATGAACCGCAGCACACCAGGCCTCTCTGTCCATCACCAACTCCCGTACTCCATCCAAACCCATGTCCATTGAATCAGTGACGCCATCCTGCCATCTCATCCTCTGTTGTCCCCCTCTCCTCCTGCCCTCAATCTTTCCCAGCATCAGGGTCTTTTCCAATGAGTCAGCTCTTCACATCATGTGTACTCTGTCATTTTAATGTACTTAAAATTCAAGATTCTTCATGTTAAAAGAGCCCTTTTAAAATCCTGATGTTTCTCAAACTGTCATTGATTACCATAATAAATGGCCTTTCCTTAGTTATCATCTTTATTTTCATGAACATTAAGTGCTATACATTGTCCTTCTTGAAAATGTCCTCCTTTGGCTTCCATCCCTTTCCTATTTCTGTTTTTACCCCTACTTCGGTTCTTTCTTCTAAAACTTAGCTGTTACTCTGTGTGTATGTGTGTATATATATACACATATACACATTGAAATTCTACTCTGGATCCTCTTATTCAGTCAGTAATTCTTTGTGTGTTAGCTACTCAATCATGTCTGACTCTTTGCAACCCCATGGAGCCTGCCAGGCTCCTCTGTCTGTGGAATTCTCCAGGCAAGAATACTGGAGTGGATTGCTATTTCCTTCTCCAGGGGATCTTCCTGACCCAGGGATTGAACCCGGGTCTCCTGCATTGCAGGCAGATACTTTTACCACTGAGCCACCAGGGAAGCCCTCAGTAATTCTTAAGGTCTATCTTTGCACCAGTTACTATGCAAAGAGTACGGTAGAAAAGAGATTGTAGGTGCAGACAAGGAAGTGTCAGTCCTTTCTTTCAAGAGGCCAGTGGGGAATGAAAATCAGTAAATATAGTATAGCAGTGCCTGCTTTATAAGCTTCTAGTTAAGTGTAAGTAAATATCATCTGCATATTTACAGTATTTGTCATAATGTCATCATCTGCATGACATTAGTACCTCTTTAAAGTGAATGCATTTTATTATACCTAACCGTAGTCCTAACTGAAATCAACCATTGGCCTTAAAGTGTCCTAACCATTCATTCTTTCAGTTTCTTCATCTGTAAACGTGTATTATAATAATAATTATCTTTCTCACAGAATTTCTGTGAGGGCAAGATGATAGAAAATTATACTTAATATTTTATAAATATAAAATTTATGTAAAATATAAAATTACCATTAGCCATAAATTCATTTTTATATATTGAAATAATAGAAGTTTTAAGTTTTTTACCCTATTTTCTTCTCTTAAGATATGTAATAAATCTCCCACAGTGCATTAGCAGAATGGAGTACTTAATTATTTTCATAGCTGCTTTTATCAGTTAGAATACTGTTGGCTGTAAGAATAGCAAGTCTGAGTAGTCTCAAACTGACTTAAGGAAAAGAAGATATGTGTGTGTGCTAAGTCGCTTCAGTCATGTCCAGCTCTTTGTGACCCCATGGACTGTGTGTAGCCCACAGGCTCCTCTGTCCACGGGATTCTCTAGGCATGAATACTGGAGTGGGTCATCATGCCCTCCTCCAGAGGATCCTCCTGACCCAGGGACTGAACCCACGTCACCTGCAGCTCCTGCATTGCAGGCAGATTCTTTACCACTTGAGGCACCAGGGAAGCCCAAAGAAGATACATCCTCTTACAAAATGATAGGTCCGTGGGTAGAGCAGGCCTAAAGATGGCTGAGTCTTCTGTTTAATAATACTGTTCCAGACCCAGGATCTTTCCATCTCTTTTCTCTGCTGATGTTTTCGGCTACTTCTCAAATGTGTTCATGCTTCCTTGTTCACAGTTAATTGAGAGAGGGGAAAAATACTCCCTGCTTCAGCAGCCCAGAGCATGCACCTTTTCTTTACCCTGATTGGGCAAGTACTGGCCATGTGCCTGTCCCTTGCCACAAGCTCTTGTGAGGGGGATACTATAGGCTGATTAGTGTATGTTAACCAAAATTATTCTTGGAGGTGGGGTAACCTTCGCTGTTACATGAGAGAGAAAAAGAGATGAACATACTGAACAAGTCTAGGCTTTTTTAGGAATAAAAACAGAGAGGAATGAATACACAAAACACAATATATCTATCCAATGGAATATTACCTGTTAGTAAGAAGGAAGGTAGNTTGGAGGTGGGGTAACCTTCACTGTTACATGAGAGAGAAAAAGAGATGAACATACTGAACAAGTCTAGGCTTTTTTAGGAATAAAAACAGAGAGGAATGAATACACAAAACACAATATATCTATCCAATGGAATATTACCTGTTAGTAAGAAGGAAGGTAGGACTGATGCATGCTATGACATGAATGAAAATATTAGGCAAGTGAAAGAAACCAGTCGCATATGATTCCATTTATATGAAATGTCAAAAACAGACAAATCTATAGAGAAAGAAAATAGACTGTGGTTGTCAAGAGTTGGAGGTTGATATGATGGAAAGATAGTTAGGGTACAAGGTTCTTTAGGGGATGATGAAAATGTCCTAAAATTAGATTATAAAGATGGCCGCAAAACTTTGTAAAGGTATTAAAACTATTGAACTGTATACTTTAAGTGAGTAAGCTTTGTTATGTAAGTTCCATATCAATAAATCTGTTAAAAAGAGAAAAAGGAATGGGTTCTGGGAATGTTAACAATAGAATCCCTTACTTGAATTAAAATATATAGTATTAGGATATTGTTTTCCTTCTAGGTCCATGGGACAGTAGGAGAACCCTGGTGGATTTGGGTAGAAGATCCTACAAATGATCATATTTATCATTCAGAGTATTTCCTAGTTCTAAAAAAACAGGTAAATATGTCTATGTCACTCTATCCTTATTTTGTTGGTATCATTGAAAAGAAAATATAAATTAAATAATTTCTGTTTTTACCTGTTTCTCTATAATTTCATAATGCCATTAAAGCTTTATTTATTATGTTTTATGTTTCTGTTTGGTTTTAAAAGAAAAGAGTGATTAAATGTTATAATATTCATATATTCAATGTGATTTTCATTTGAGAAATTTAATTGTAATTTTTCTAATGGTTTAAGGCATAGATTCCAGAGGGGTAGAATGTGTCAAATGGGTAGAATAAATAAAATTTTTTAAATTAAATAAATAAAAAATAACTTCAGGTGTTACAAAAGGCACAGTATTAAGACTACTGAATACATTATATAAAAGACATACTTTTTTAAAAATTCCAAGACAAAGACTCAGTTTGATGGAATTCACTGTGATGCTTCATTCCTAATTTCTGTTTTTAATCAAAGAGAAACAAGCTTTAGGCCTGAGTGAACATCTATAGAATTTTATAGCAATATTTTATTTTCATTGCATTTGTGTTCATGATTATCTTTTATTTATGCCAAGTGTTCTGTTATTTCACTTATGGTAGTGAAAGATTTTTTTTTTAATATTAAATGAATAATTTGGTAAACATTATGAAGTTAAGTACTTGAATGAATGAAGTTAGGGAAGTTCTGATAATGAGTTAAATTGGTAACTTGATAATACATGATGATATGCATATGTAAATATTATAAATTGAGCATATGCTTTTCTTTCTATAATATAAGACCTCCTCAGAGAATGACCACCTACAAGTTTCTGAAGTATCTGAATATCTCAGCTATTTAGAAATCCAAGATATTTTCTTTCTCTTTAGTACTTACTGCTGTAGAAACCATTGTTTTCACAAGAGAATAATAAGGGCCCTTTGCTACTAGAATAACCACATCCATTTTATACTTTATTCCGCATTAGGTCATTAGTAAAGAAGCTCAACTACTGGTATTTACAATCCCTATATTTGAGCCTTTGCCTTCCCAATACTACATCCGAGCAGTGTCTGATCGATGGTTAGGAGCTGAGGCTGTATGTATTATCAACTTTCAACATCTGATTCTACCAGAGAGACATCCTCCCCATACAGGTAACATGTAGAATAGTAACTTGAATCTTCCAAAATTGTTGTTTTTATTTCATGTTGAAAAGTATCTATGCTTTAAAATTGTCTGAATCTAAATCAAAACACATCTTATTTCTCAAATATAGTTTGAGAAGAGACTTTTCAAAATCAAATGTAGACCCCAATGCAGGCCTTAATTTTATTTATTTTTTTTTTTTGAGTTCCAAAAACATGAAACTAAGCCTAGACACTCACTGTTGCTGTATTACTGTACCTTCCTCTTTATAATCATTATGATTTCTCAAAAAATAATGAAATTGCATTATCTATTGATCTATTCATTGAAGACTTTTCTGATTTTCTTTCATCAAATAAGCTTTGTGATACCTAGAATCTCAAAATAAAATAAAATATTTGGTACTTTATTTTTTTATTAAAATCTAGTTGATTTACAGTGTTGTGTCAATCTCTGTGGTATAGCACAGTGACCCAGTTGTATATACATATACACTTTTAATATTTTTTCCATTATGGTTGATCACAGGATATTAAGACTAGTTCCCTGTGGTATACATTAGGACCTTGTTGTTTATCCCTACTAAATGTAATGATTTGAATCTACCAACCCCAAACTCTCAGTCCATCCCTCTCCTTCTCTTCCTTCCTTTTGGCAACCACAGGTCTGTTCTCTGTGTCTCTGAGTCTATTTCTCTTTTGTGGGTGCTTTAAACATACGCTACCAACATCACTACTAGGTCTCTCTGCTTGCAGTACCTGATTTTAACATGTATTAATGTTTTATTTTAATTCTCATTTAATCCCTTCTTTGTTGAGTGGATAAGCGTGTATTACCTTATTTATGTAATTAGCTGATTTTCTGACTACATTTTTAAATGCAGCAAATGTACCACCATGACTTATCAATTGATATTAAAAAATACATGATGTAACCTCAATGATTTCCAATTCTGTGTGGATCCAAGTTTATATACAGGCATTCCACTGAACTCGAATCAGCTAGGAAAAATCTTTGTATTTCACAGAAGTAAAACACCTAAATTAACATTGTCAGTAAATGCTGAAATGTTTATTTTTTTTTTTAGTGTTTTTTAAGAATATGTCTATGCTTTGATTGGCATTACAAGTTAAGATTTCCTTCCTCCTTGATTTTCAGTGCTACAAAACATATCAGTGATTGTAATCTGGTATAAGAAACATACATTTAGTTCTTAATCAATTACCTGTATAATAGAGTAGAGCAGTGGGGCAGTGATAATATTTTAAAAATTAGTGTTTTACTTTTAAATATATTTTTTGAGACGAGAACTCTCCATACTTTCCACTTTGAAGCTGTACTGTGAAGATCCAACTCAAGATACGGACCACCATGTTCCCTTCTTGATTCTTTTTTCCCCTTCTTACTTCAAATAAGTAGAGTCATACATTGACATGAATCAGTCATGGATTTACATGTATTCCCCATCCCGATCCCCCCTCAAAAACCACTACAATATTGTAAAGTAACTAGCCTCCAACTAATAAAAATAAATGGAAAAATAAATAAATAAATAAATAAAAATAAAAAATAATAGTTTGAAAAAAAAAATAAGTAGAGTCATACTTCATGGAGTAATCCTGAAATTAGCTAACTGATACCTTTCTGGATTATAGGAAAATGAAATGACTGTCAGGTTTAAGGGTATCTAGGTGTAACTTTATTTCTCTAAATCATTTTGATTTTCTAATCTCCGGGACTTCTAGTCTACATGATGATTTACAGTTAAATCTAGTTTCTTTCCATGTTTTCTCAGCACAGTTCTTATTTACCCAGTCGTGCTCTGATTTAAAACTCCCACCCAAGCTTCTTCTTATTTCAAGCTCATGTTAGTTTGCATTGTCTGGAACAACAGTGCCCTCAACCACTGTGTTTGTCAACTGTCTAACAGATGAAGAGTTATTTGTTCTTAGTAACTGTTCTAGTACTACTCTGAAGTGGTTTTCCTCCTTCTACAGGTTGGCACAGATTTAGTTTTCTTCTAAAACATGCATATTTTCGTACACCTCTCATTCAAATCTCCTTCCTGATTGGAAGATCATTAGCGCTGTCTTAGAGGGAGCTCTGCCAGAAAAGTGTTTAGTGTGTATGTCAATGTCATAATCGTGGTAATGGGGTGGGGAGGGAAATCTGTAACTAGTATATAAGAATTGGTTAATCTTTTTTTCCCCTCTGAAGAATTAAGGATTATTATAATTTGTTTCAAAAAGACGGTATTTTATCATGTGCGTGTTCTCCAGTTTTGTGTGTACTGGTTGAATCTTTTCAGAATTGCTGGATCTTCAGCCTTTGCCTGTCACAGCTTTGGGCTGTGAAGCATATGAAGCCCTGTACACCTTCAGTCACTTTAACCCTGTGCAGACACAGATATTTCACACGCTGTATCACACAGACTGTAACGTCCTACTTGGAGCACCCACTGGATCGGGAAAGACTGTTGCAGCTGAATTAGCCATTTTCAGGGTCTTCAACAAGTACCCTACTTCAAAGGTCAGTTGGAAACAATCACATGTTTACATTTAATTATAAAACATAATTTATAATCTGTAAATTAGCCAGTTCTAAATATACTGGCAGGACTTATTGAATAGATTTGCCACTCTCTTGTGAGTTTTCCAGGGGGGCCCAGATCAATATATGAGTAAATGGCCAAAAGAAAACTTCTATTAACACTTTGGAGTCCTTTAGTTAGATTTCTAATGTACTTATTGGTGCTCACATGTCCTTTCCTCATTATAAGATACCAATAATTCATAGGAAATTTCATTGTAAGAAATGTAGTTCATAGCCATACTTATAAGAAATATAATGATTCATAATCATTAATCATAATCAAACCCTTTGGCTGTGAAGGAAATGCTAATACTTTAATAAATACAGCTTGATTACACACAGAAAATACCAAGGCAGTTTTTATTCCACATTTCTCCAAATGGCCATGCTATTATTAATGTAAAATAATGTGTCGAGTCAAATAAGTATTGATTTTAAGCTTTCTTTAAATGTGAAGTACTCTCAGAAACCTTTTTTCTAAAAAAGTCAATTTATTTGTTATGATTAGAATTTTGAAACATTTTATAAAGGAAAGAATTTTTTTCCAGTAAGTAGTCTGTATGAAAGTTTAGATTATTAAAGACCAGGGTTTTTTTTTTTAATTTATTTTTGTTTTCTAAAGTGTAGAACACATAAAATGTATGACTGGCATTGGCATCTTCCATAAAATCTGCATTAAAATTTTAAACAACCAGATTATTTATCTTTATAATTTCAAAATTAGTAGCCTTTTTCATGAAAGAGTTATAACTTATATGTAATTTATTATCTCCTGGTTTTTTAAAAAATTTTCTTATTATGTTAAAAGATAATTTCATTCTGTGACAACTAAGAGGGGTGAGATGTGGTAGGGAGTGGTGAGGAGTTTCAAGAGGGAGGGTACATATGTATGCTTACGACTGATTCATGTTGTTGCATGGCAAAAGCCAACACAATATTGTACAATATTGTAAAGCAGTTATCCTCCAGTTAAAATAAAAATGTTTAAATGATAATTTCATTATAAACTACCTAAAGAAAATACTTTCTTTAAAAATGCTTTTTAAAAACTATTTAAAATTTTCTATGTCAGTATTTTTATGATTTGTTACATTCGTGTCTTACTTTGGGTAAATGTAGTTTAAGCTAATGACAGTTTTCCATTAATTTAAAATTTTAATTCTTTCAGTCTTAAAAGATACATTTTTTTAAACTACGCTTATATTTTGATAAAATTTTATTGAGTTTACCTTTATTTGAAAATGATGTCACTATTTTCATGAGATTTTTTTGCATCCCCATTTTAGGCAGTATATATTGCACCCTTAAAAGCCCTAGTACGTGAACGAATGGATGATTGGAAAGTTAGAATAGAAGAAAAACTTGGTAAAAAGTAAGTTCTTACTTTTTCAGAAGATATGCAATGAATAATTGAAAAGGGTCAACAAATAAAAGATTTGCATAAAACTGTTGAATGCTTTTAAATGATTTGCATTTTCTTTTTATTTAAAGGTGTTGTAGTTAAAATGTTATCAATATTCTCACTTGTTTCAAGATTGAAAAATGAGAGCCCTTAATTTACTTATACTTTAATTTGGCAAGAAAATCTCAAAACTTTAGATTCAAAAACAAAAGAAAAATAAGATATGTCTCTCTATTTTTCTTTCACGCACTTCAGAATAACTTCCAAAAACTGCTTAGAAGGCATTTTGCATGTAAATAATTTACCGAAAAAAGAAAAAATCACTGAAGAACATGACTTAAAAAAAATTTTTTACTATTGACGAGGTTACTTATTATAATTTTTTTTAATAGCAAAATTGCATGTAACCTGAGTGACCGCTGGAGCATCACTAAATACACTATGACACATTCACACAGTGCAAAATATGGTCTTACTATATGAAAAAACTGAATTCTATATACATAAATTCTATATGCATGAAAAACAGATCTTCCAAGATACTGTTTAAAGAAATGTTTTTAACTTAAGTATTCCCTTTTTGTTTTTAAAACTTGGTGAAGAATATAAATATGTGTTTGTTTTAGAATGAGAATCAGGTGATGAGAATATCCATGTTGCAGAGACTATTTACTATATATATATAATATATATATACATACTTTGAACCATACAAATATATCACCTATTCAAAATAATAAATAAAATGTAAAAAAATAAGAAAAGGAACTAAAAGCTTTGGGAATGCTATCCTTGGAGGAACTAATCTTGATTTTTTTTTCTGTTTTTTGAATGTCAAAACAGATATAAAATGACTTAGGTAATAAAAATGATTACCTAAAATTTGGAGTTAGCCTTCAATTTTCCTTCTTTCTCATATTTGCCCCAACTTACCTGTTTGTGTCCTTATATATTTGAACTTGCCTGTAATATCTAGACAATTTCAACCTAAGAAAAGAAATGAAGCTTAAACACAATCATATTCTTAATGAATGCCTCCTTTTATCTTAATAAGTTAACACTTTCCCTCATTAGAAAGGTGTTTATTCCAACATAAGGAGGAGGTGTGAGTTCACCTCTGTAAAATCACAAAGGGTGGAGACTTTGTAAACATAATGAAAACAAAGTTTGATACATATGCATTCTATGCATATGTATGATTCTATGCACATCTGCATAGAAGTTAGATTTCAGTGATTTGCTTTTATACATTCTTCATTTCATGGGAGGAAATCATCTTAGAATCATTAAGAAATATCTATTTTGGACTCAAGTCAGAAAATTTCAGAAATCAAAGGGAGATAAAGTAGTTTTAGGCATAATGTAATTTTATTTTGAAGGCCATATTTTTGCTTTCCTAAGCTCATGTGTTACCTGAAAATTTAAAGGGATCATTTTTGTTCTTCTCCAGAGTTATTGAACTGACAGGAGATGTAACTCCTGATATGAAATCCATTGCCAAGGCTGACCTTATCGTGACCACACCAGAGAAGTGGGATGGAGTCAGCCGAAGCTGGCAAAATAGGAACTATGTAAAGCAAGTCACTATTCTCATCATAGACGAGATCCATCTGCTGGGTGGGTACCACTGCATCTGAATCCAGTGTGCAAACTTGGACTCCTCATACCTGCAGCAGCTAGCATCAGGACTCGTTAAATGATTAACTTCCATTATTCCTCTTTCTTAGGGGAGGAAAGAGGCCCTGTTCTAGAAGTCATTGTATCTCGAACAAATTTCATCTCATCCCACACAGAAAAGCCTGTTAGGATAGTTGGGCTATCCACTGCATTAGCTAATGCCAGAGACCTTGCTGACTGGCTCAATATTCGTCAGGTATGTGAAAGACTGGTAAACCAGACATTGCATAGTGTGCACCTAGGGCCTTATTAAGGAGGTGCTAGAGTATTATAAAGTATGAAAACTGGAAATGGTTTCTCTCTCATTTTTACTCCAGATGGGCTTGTTCAACTTCCGACCATCAGTGCGCCCAGTTCCGCTGGAAGTCCACATTCAGGGCTTCCCAGGTCAGCATTACTGTCCCCGTATGGCCAGTATGAATAAGCCTGCATTTCAGGGTAAGCTTCAGATTCCTGGGATGGGTAACCACCGTCTTGTATGGTAGCCTTTAAATGCGTTCTAAATGTCGTGGGCTTGTTTGAAAGGGTGGTGCTGCTCCAGCTTCTACAAATATCTAGGACTATTTACGTTAACTGTTGAGGAATATTAATATATATTGAACTGACTATTGAAAATTTGATTTCATAAGTGATAATGTCTTCATGGTAGAATAAATGTATGTAGTCTTAAAAAATCAAGTTATTCTTAAAATTAATTTATTAAGATATTATGATAGTAACTTGAGTAAATGACAAGTAGAATATTTTAGACTCATAATATTAATTTTTATCAGAATCATCTGAAAAATTTCATTCTTTTTTTGGCTATGTATCTGATTATGTTTTATTTTTTGTTTTTCCCTTTCTAACAAATTAGGCAAGCAGGAAAGATTTAAGAATAACACTCCTATTTTATTGAAACATGTTTTCATGTTTAGGCTGCATAAGGAATATTTATTATATCAATTAAAAATAACCTCCAAAATAAATTCTCTAATGTGAACTGCTGTTGATTGTGAGGTGACAGTTGTGAGGTGACTTTTTAGCTGCTGTAATTAGCCTTATGACAGAAGCAAAGTATTGATTGTGAACTGGAGACCAATCTTGGCAGTTCAGATTATTTACACCTCCACAGAAGCATTGTACAAAATCACTAATGAACAATAAATCTGCCGTGAGCTGTTCAGCCACACCTGTTCTTGCAGCAGCAAAAATCCATTAAATGTTTGAGGTTTAAAAAAGAGGCAAATTCATTCATTCATGATTATGTGCACTAATGATACCAATATTGTACTAATATGTGTATTTTAAATGTATCTCTAATATGATTTATCAAAGCATTACCATTTGTATTCTAAAAATTCTGATCAACTGTGAATGTGTTAATTTTTCATAGTATGTTTGATTGGTTCCATTTAAGGAATGACTGATTCGTGATTGAAATGAAGCATTTTATATTATGTAAATCAATAGTAAATTAACTGTACCTACATTTCTCTAAATATTGCATAAGTACAGCAGCTATCCTTGTAAACTCTTTATAAAGAGACCTATAGTGGATCACTATATTTCTTTGAGTTTGCATTTATGATTTTGTGGTAGCTTTATTTCTCACTCTTAGGTATAAATATAGCCAAGGTCATGTCAACATTTCCATTTATGAAGCTTGTTCTTTTAGCCCATAAAAAGAAATTCTGCAGCTCACATTTCAAACTAGAAACTACAAGGAAGTTGTACTTTTTAGTATAAAAATTCCTAATACCTCTGACTGTTTTAAGAGACCTATGTACACATAAATATAAATTCTCTTTGTGCCATCTTATCAGTATTTCGGAACCTATGCATAGCAAAGAAACTTCAGCTCCAGTTAAGTCAAATGATTTGTGTGGCTCTTTAAGTAATATTTTTTCAGGCTTATTACCCAGTTTTCAAACTATCATCTTCTGTGTGTCTGCTCCCTATGTGCCATCACTCAGACATGGATTCAAGCATGGTATTTTCTTCATCTTCCTTCTGCTTTCTTTTATCTTCCCACTTGAAACCTTATGCTTACATTTGGGGGAAAACATTTTTCTGACATATCTGATTAATTTATTGATACAAACTCACTTAATTTTTCTATCTACTGGTAACAGGACAAAAATAAAAGGAATTTTTTGTGGCTTTCCTTCAACCCCACCCCACCCCCCCACCCCTGCCTCAGATCTTGATTCTCTGTCCAGACCCCAGGACCAACTAACTCTGCAATATCATTGCTTAGGCAAGCAGAAACACAACTCAAAAATAGAAAACCCAACCTAAGATTTAGTATCCATCATAGTTGTATCCATATACAGCTGCTTATGGAGAGTCTCAGCTTTTAAGTCTCCTCCCTTGGCAGGTCATAACGGAACCAGGAGTCAAGACAGTTCAGTCTTCCCTGTCTTGGGCAGAAATTTCTCCTGAGTAGAGACAGCTATCTTTCCTTTCCTATCATTTATCCAGTATAATGTCAGAACCAGGTAGTAGCTCAGATAATGCTAAATTTCATGACCAAATTAAGAATTCAATTAAATCATTTACATCCTTAGTTTTCATGCATTTATTTGACATCCTAATGAAATTCAGATTCTGGTTTAAGTGGCTTACTATCTTATTTTCTACAATTTTTCAACAGCAATTAGAAGCCATTCTCCAGCCAAGCCTGTTTTGATATTTGTCTCATCAAGACGTCAAACTCGTCTTACTGCTTTGGAATTGATAGCCTTTCTAGCTACTGAAGAAGATCCAAAGCAGTGGTTGAATATGGATGAAAGAGAAGTAAGCAACATATTTTAATTCTACTTCTTATACCTGTCAAATTAGTGTATATTGTAGTATAATAGGAATTACATATAAAACTATGTTTAGTTTTAATCTATTTATTACCGTTGCTGTTGTTTAGTCCTAAGTCATGTCCAACTCTTTGCAACCCCATGGACTGTAGCCCACCAGAATCCTCTGTCCACGGGATTCCCAGGCAAGAATACTGGAGTGGGTTGCCATTTCCTTCTCCAGGAGAGCTCTCCGACCCAGGGATCAAACCCATGCCTCCCGCGTTGCAAGCATATTCTTTACCACTGAGCCCCACCAGGCTGTCCATTTATTACTCTGTTTCTCCCTTTAACTTCATCACCTATGTATATTTTAATATTTGGCTAAGTTTTTTCATAATATTTGAGTGTTCACTGCTGTTGAAATTCATAATCAATTCAGCAAAATTAACTTTGTATCAACTATATAATTTGACCATCTTCAAAAATTTAGAAAACACTGATAAGTATGTAAAAATTAAAATCCTATTACTGTCCTTTAAGTAATAAGCATCACTAAAATGTTTTCATATCTGCATAATTCTATTATATGACTATTCCATTGTATTTTTCTCCTATAATTAAATAATCATTCATCTTTATTATTATAGGTTTTTCTTTATTTAGAGTTATTTCCTGTGTATAAACTTATAAATTTAAAATTAATGATTCAAATAATGTAGCCATTTTTAATAATTTTTCATGCACACTGATAATTACTTTCCAAAAGGACTATACCAATTTTGATTATCCCTACTGGTATATGAATTGTCAGCAGTGTATGAGAGTAACAGCCTCACTACATGCTCACTTGTTGTAATTCATTGTTATAGATAAAATGTTTCTTGTTTTAGTGTTTTAATGTGTACCTTAATTTTTTTGTGGTTAAACATTTTTTTTCATATATTTTGTTTTATTCTCTTTTGTCCCTTCATTCCTCTGAGCTTTTATCTGTTGCAGTATAGCATTTTTCAAATAGATTTGTGTGGGAGCCTTACCAAACTGAAATACCATATACACATGCATACACCCCTAAAATTTTATACAGGCGCACCTTAGAGATATTGTGGATTGTGTTCCAGACTACTGCAATAAAGCTAACATTGCAGAAAAGCTAATCACACAAAATTTTTGCTTTTCTTGTGCTTAATAAAAGTTATGTTTACACTATACTATAATCATTTAAGTGTGCAATAGCATTATGTCTTTAAAAAAGTACATAACTTAATCTATTATAAAAAGACTGTATTGCTAAAAAAAAAATTCACTATCATCTAAGCCTTCCATAAGTAATAGTAATATAGTAATAGTAATCATAATAGTAATATCAAAGATCACTGATCACAGATAATCATAACAAATAATGATGAAAAAGTTTGAAATATTGAGGAAATTGCCAAAATTTGACACAGAGACATGAAGTGAGCAAATGTTGGAAAAATGGTGTTGATAGACTTGTTCAACATGAAATTGCCACAGACCTTCCATTTGTAAAGAAAAGATAAAGCCACATTATTTGCAAAGCACAATACAATGAGGTATGCCTGGTATGAGGCATGTCACTCATGAAGTATGTTACTTTTTTCCATATGTATGTGTTAGTTATATATACATGTATTAACCTTTCATCTGCTTTATTAGTAAATTTTGGTAGTTCACTGAGTGTCTTTTACTTTTTTCAAATGGCAGTATTTGCATTTTATGTGAAACAGTCTGTTAATATGATTCTTTGTGATTCCTTCCAATACTTCTAAATGTAGGTATTCCTCCTGTCTCCTGCCATAGATTGATAGATGGTGATTTGTTCTTTCTTACACTTTTATGGTTTTTAAAAATATGTTCCTAGCTGGAGTTATGATTGAAAAAAAGTAGGTGAAATCAGTGATACAACCGTTGCATCATCTTCCTTCCCCCTGCCCATCTCCCCTTTTTCATCTCATGTAGCCTGAGGAGCAGTGAACACAGTGCTCCTAGCCTGCTAGAGCCGGTCTCAGCAGTCACATATCCCTCCCCGTCCATGTCACAGCTCGTTTAGGGCTGGATGGCACCGTGTATGTTACAGTCATAGGTTAACATTGGTTAACTAGCAACAGTTAATATTTCAAGATTCTTATGTAGGACCACAGATGACTTTATTAATCACTAATAAGTAGCAGAACCCAAAATTTCGTGTAAAAGCTATCACATGACCCATGAAGTAGGGCGAAAGCTATCATTTATCCTTCAAGTGTCATCATTACTCCTTTAATGCGATTTGTAGGCATATACAAGATATATAATTCAAGATAATTTAGAATCAAAATAATTTTGTCAAAAGTTCCATATCCTGTGTTATTTACTTATTATGCCGAAATAATGACCCTGTTGTATTTAAACATTATCTTGACTTAAAGGAAATGCTGAAAAATAAGTGTATGAAATATATACCTGTATACAGTTTAGTTTATATACAGCATCTATCTAGCCTTATTTTCTTTTTGGTTTTGTTTTTCTTCCTCTTGTGTCTTATCACTAGCGGTATTCGCAATGGAGACTTTTCTTTGAAGTCAGGGTATAAGGTAACTATTTACATTTGGGGATGTGTGCTCAAAGCATATTTATATAAGAACTATGCCTTTAGCACATGTGTGACTCGCATGAACCTCAAATGTGAACCTCGTGTGCTCTCCCCAGCTACAGTTCAACTCTACTATTCTTTATTTTTCATTTAAAGGTGTGAGACCTTAGCAACTCTGGACTGCTCACCATTGTATGAAACTACTTCCCTGTTTTGTTTTGTTCTGTTTTTTTTTTTTTTAATCAGCAAAAAGTCTATCACCAAGGCTCATTAGAAAGTACAGAAATTACTTACATGGTTTTTGCTTTTTCATATATTTCATTGCTAAAATAGGCCAGTTGGAAATTATGTCATTTCTGGACATTTTGTTTCACTAAGCCCATCTCAAGAATAAGACAACCCAAGCTTTGTTTTTATTCCTGCCACTGAAAACCATCACCTTTAAAGTCAAATTCTCGGAGGGTTTACAACTGATTATTATGCAAATTCATCTGATTATAAGTAGGTTCTCATTGTTGAATCCTCTAAATAAGTTAGGACTTTTCAAGACTCTAGTTTTTGTAAGGGTTACTCTCCATGATACCCTGGCCTAGACATTTAGTGAGTACTCCTGGTGCTGCTCCTTAGTGTCAGGTTGCTGTTCTGTGGTAGGTCATGAGTACTCTGGTAGGACTTGAGTGTTGACTACTTGAGCATTCAGAGGAGGCAGGGTAAGCTTGGGGCAGTTTATCCTGGCAGCTGTAGAGTAGGGAGACCCTGTGGAAGACAGTAGCATCTAAATAATTCTTCAGTTGAATGGTGTGAAGTCAGGAAGTGTCCCTAGATGTGGAGGTGGGAGCTGATGGATTCAGGGGAGAGAGGAAAGAAAGCTAGGGCAAATCTGAAGAGGATGGAGAAAGAGAAGGTGACCAAGGAAGAATATATGTGTACTATTTTGATTCTCAGCAAAGACAAAAGAAATTATCCAAGTATATTCTTAACCCAGTAAAGCCTCAAAGTAAAGTATTAGAAAATATCACTGATGTAAAATCATACTGCAGAATGAGAAAACTCATTCTGTAATAATAGTAATGTTCTTTCATATTTACCATTATGAAGCCTCCTGCAGTGATTCCAAAAGTTTGTGGGCATGTGCTGCTATGCATCTTGGATTTCTCAGTTGGATAGCCACCACTTCCACCATTAACCCCAAAAGGTTGGGTTTTACATCACTCTCTCAAGCTTATTGCAAAATTCAGATTTAAATTGAAGAAAGTAGGGAAAACCTCTAGACCATTCAGGTATGACCTAAACCAAATCCCTTATGATTGTACAGCAGAAGTGACAAATAGATTCAAGGGATTAGATCTGATAAAGTACCTGAAGAACTATGAACGGAGGTTCATAACATTGTACAGGAGGTGATGACCAAA